AATGTATAAATAACCTACTCGAGGTCAACTCAAATTCAGCTAGTGAAAAGGTAGCTCAAGCTCGGCCTCAAACAATAAATGAGTTGAAATTGTGTACTTCTTTGAACTTGTTTATGATAAAAAATCGAGTTTGAGCAACTTACTCCCCCTCCTTGAGTACTCAAAATTTGAATTGCCATATAACTTAAATTTATAGATCGTTTTCTATGGAATTGGGATCTATGACTGATTAGAAGTTCCTTAGGCTCCTGCTGAAACAAGAGGGCGTATGCTAAGTTGCCTAAGAGCACTGTGCAATGCTGATATCAAAATAGGCTTTGTCATCGGCAAGGATGTTTCTCTTCCTACTGTAAATGTTCGATCAGCCAAGAATCCTCTCAAAGATATTGGAGGCGAAGCTGCCATCAAAAGGCCAATCCTCGCCTTTTTTTCCGGTTACATGCACGGTCGAGCCCGTCCAATTCTCCTGAAACATTGGGGAAAAGATCCTGACATGAGAATTTTCGATCGTCTGCCTCATGTCAAGGGAAACAAGAATTACATTGAGCATATGAAGAGCAGCAAGTATTGCATTTGCGCCCGAGGTTTTGCAGTGCACAGCCCCCGAGTTGTGGAATCCATTTTCTTCGAATGTGTCCCGGTAATTATATCTGACAACTACATACCTCCATTTTTTGAGGTTTTGAACTGGGAATCCTTTGCTGTTTTCATCTTAGAAAAGGATATTCCAAATTTGAAGAGCATACTGCTATCTATTCCTGAAGAGAAATATCTCGAGATGTTAAATGGCGTGAAACAGGTACAGAAACATTTTCTTTGGCATGCTGAGCCTGTAAAGTATGATTTGTTTCACATGACTCTTCACTCAGTTTGGTACAACAGAGTTTTCAGGTTAAATTTGGCATAGGCTGTATCCAGAGTTAAATACTAACATATAGTCGTTTAGAATTGCAGTTTTCTAGAAATAATAATATAAAACTCAATGAAAAACTGAAAATATTTAACTTTTTTTTTTTTTTTTTTTTTTTTTTTTTTTTTT